AGATTTCTGTAGCCTTCCCACCCTGCTCATTATGTTGAAATTTTATTTAAGGAAAAAAAAAAAAAAAAAAGACGTGTTAAGACAGCTTCCAACTCTCAACTGCCTAAGTGGCCATTGGAAGGAGTCTATTATTAGTATAGAGAATATGAGTATCCCTACTTTGAACATCATTTTGAGTAAATGGTTAGAATGGGTCACTTGACTATTCTGATAAAGTGCCTCATGTCGCCATGATGAAGAATTTGAGATATGTATCTTTAAGTTCTTTTACAAGACATTTCTCCTCTTTTCTGAGGATTATATAATCTGTGCAGTGAGGTAAAATTGGCTGGTACTTCTGACCTACTGTTAACAGTTCTTGACTCACAAATGGTGACATTTTGTAACATGGAAAAAATAATCAGTTTGAGGAGTTGCTTGACAGTTTTTGTGTTTTTTTTTAAATTTTAAATGTGGGGTTTATGTATAAATATGAAATTACCAGCACAGTGCTAAGCAAAACTCATACATGGTTGATTTGTAATTCAGTTTGTTGTAACCCAGTTAAGTAATTGAGTGACTCCTGTTCAGGTGCTGGGGTATATCTTCTATTTTCTTTTTCCTCAACCAAATAAATAAAATGACCTATTGTCCCTAGCCCACATTTTGTAGAGAGGCACATTTCATTGCTCACTGTGTTGAATAGTATGTAAGAACAGTTTTCTGATTTGGAGGTCGTTACTTTTGATGGGTCAGCATGGAAAAAAATGAATCACATAGTTCTTACCATAATCTTAACCCCCATTAAAAAAATCTTCTTGACTAATCCCTGGGACTACAGGTCAAACAATAGTCAGAAAATGAAATGAAGACTCTTAGGTTTATTCTGATCTTAGGAAATAGGGTTAACTGCTAGACATTCTTCCAGAATACTTTGGAACAAAGTGCTGATTTCAGGTTTGCTTAGGGTGTTTTAAACTCTCTTGAAGTGTTTATCTTACTATGCTTTTTTCAGTTAATTGGACAGAAAATAATCTGCCCTTTGGGACTAGGTACACCATATTTACAAAGTGACATATCGCGGGAGTATTATTTGGTGTCAAGTGGAAAGTTCCTGTAACAGAGATGTCTTGGGAAAGATTCCTTTCTATAATTTACCGTTTTGTTCCTTTGTGGTATTAGTAGATATTAACAGTAATAAGATTAATGAAACCAGAGTAAGAATTTATTTGACATTAGAAAGGAAGGATAAAATACTGCTAATAATTTCATATTCTAGCTAAGTAACATTTACCCTTTTTTGACATTAATCTTTTAAGGTGATAAATTTGTTTGATAAATTATACTGTAAATGAAAACCATTTCTGGATTTATTACGCCTTTTTTGCATTCTTAAACAGTTTCAAATAATATTTTAATGACAAACTCAGTCTGAATGTCATCATTCCCTTGTACTTAAGATTATTTTAAGGGCAATTTAAGATTATTTTAAGGATAGTTCGAGGTTTGCCTGCACGCATCAATCATAGATCACCCCCTGCCATTTAATTTTTTCAAATTCTTTGCTCTTGCTGCTGGTTTTCATACCTCCTACAGGCCTTCCTTCCAGCAGCACTTTGTTGCTTGAACTCCTATAGGTGAGGTTGTCTTTAAAGTATATTCTTTAGTTTTGTGCAGTATGTTAGGAAACTTGATCAAAGTTGTTAGAATCATGTTTAAAACAAATATAAGTGGATTCTAGTTAAAGGTATGTTCTTTACTATGTTTTGATCCCCTTCCCCCCATCTCTGCTATGGTGCGTGAATTTATGTAATTTAAAGAAAACTTTTTGTACCTTTTACTTATATTTGGTGTTGCAGGTCAGTAACTTAGATGAGTATTTGCTGAATTAACTCAGATAAATGAGTCTTTCCTTTTGAGAATCTTAGAAATTTTCCTCCTCCATTTCTGCTTTAAGAAAGAAATAGACATGGAGATAGACTTGAACTTTGAATTCAAGTAATTGTTTCATTAGCTATTCCATTACAAGCTCCTTTTAAATTAGAAATCCATATTTGGAGGTAAATGGATATTCCAGAAGGCATTTTTCTTATTATAATTAGTATTCTATATAAACAGGTATGTATGTATATATTTGTATGCTATATAAAATTAAGGTTTTTTTTTTTTAAGATTTATGTATTTATTTGAGAGAGAGAGAGAAGGAGCGAGCACGAGTGTGAGGGTTAGGGGGAGAGGGAGAGAATCTCAGGCAGACTCTGCGCTGAGTGTGGAGCCTGACCCTGGGCTCGATCTCACAACCCTGAGCCAAAATCAGGAGTTGGTCACTTAACTGACTGAGCCAACCAGGTGCCCCGGAAATAAGGGATTTTTTTTTTATACAGCATTGAAAAATGTCTTCATGTTCACTGAAGTTTTAATAAATTAAACACATAGCATTGCTAGTGAATCTGTGGTGCTCCCGTCCCCACTTTTTTCTTTACTTTTTAAAAATTTTAGTGATGTTCTATATTGTTCTTATAATTTTTATGCTTTAGACACACAAAAGTATTGGAAATCATTATTTTCCCCCATCAACATTGCCAGAGTTTTTACCCAGTCTCTCCCTCCCATGGCTGTGTTCAGATATTGAAACACTGAAGCCTGTTTTAAGTGGATTTAATATGTAACTTCATAATCTATGCCCAGTAAGGATTTTTTTAAATGTAAACATTATGATTTTATAAAGCAAGCTTTTTGGAGACTTTTAATAATAGATCATATTAGAAACATTAGATGGCCATATGTTATTTGGTGAGTATTCTTTTGTGAATTCTATGACTATAAATCTGGTCCTTTTTGATAGGTCTATTAATATTTAAAGAACATTAGAAAGGGAAATTGACTTTTTTGTTAAGAATGAAATTTGTCTTAGTCATATTTTTATAGACTTAAATATGGCTATATAGATAAAAAATGTGTGTATTTGAGTGTGTATACATACATACACTCACTCTGACTGATATAGTTTTTATGGCCCCTTTTGAAAAGTTGATCTAGTGATTTGTTTAAAAAACTGTGTATCTTTTTAATAAGAAGAATTTCATTTCATTTTTTCTTCCAGAAGATTTGGCAGTATATTCTTAATTTGAGGCACTGGGTACTACTACCAGTATTCTGTAATGAGAGTTGGATTTAGGGGTGAGAAAGCCAGTTCTAGATTAGAGCTAGTGAGCTTTGTTAAAGTCATGTAATTTGGCCCACTCACACGGATCAAGGAACTCAGGACCAGAGAAGTCAGGTTAATTCCTAGCTCTATCCAACTTGTGCTGGGGACTTGGAGTAAACCACGTAATCTTTTTTCTATAAAACAGGGATGATTATTACTGTCCTTACCCCCAGTGGTTCTGAACCAGGCACCGCGCTTGTAGGGGACACTGGGAAGAGTTTGGGTATATTTTTGTTTGTCATCATCGGGGAGCTACTTACCTCCGGGACCCGAGGAAAACCAGGGATGCCGGCTGCCCTGCAGTGTGAGGCACAGTTGCACTGGATAAAGAATTGTTCTTTATAGACATCCAGAAATGCCCTCTTAAGATCCACTGACCAGACCTTTGTGAGAGTCACATGCCGCCATGCACGTGGGAGCACTTTAAAGTACATGGCACATGCTCAACAAAGAGAAGACAGTGTCCTGCTGTCCTACCTGCTTGATAAACTTGTCCTTTACTCAGAGGACATTTGGGAATATGACATATCCTTTGAATAATATTTATTATGTTCCTTTCCAAAAGAAATTTGAATACGGTGGTCCTTTCTTTTAAGGACAGCATTGACCATTTTCTGTCAGTATCGCTTGACTTTCATTATTTTTGTTTACTTTTGGCTGTAAGAAGACTATTTCCAGAAGAATAGCAAATGTAATAAATGACACTCAGTGGACTGCAGGTATACAAAGCTGTTTCCTGCATTGAGACGGATTGTGTATGATGAGCCTTTTCCTGCTTCCTTAGGCCCCGGTGGATCTTGTAAAGGAGGAGGACTGATTGTTGTACTATTTTGCTTCTCTTCTTCCCTGACCTCTATTTCCTATAAGTAGTCTCCTTCTCTTCTTCTGTCTCTCTCTGGCTAAGAATATGGAGCCATTTTGGGGGGAGATATTTTCTGTGGCCATTAACAGGCTTTTTAAGATTCTCCAGAAACTAAATGGGTCAAAGAAAAGGATGTGGCCACATTTCTATGTGATTTCATGAAGCTGTTGATATGCGCTAAACTTTGGAGGAGGTTATATGTAAAGAACTTAGAAGGAAGGTATACATATTACATATAATATACATATGATATCAACCTTTATTTTTATTTTTATTTATTTTTTTAAAATTTTATTTATTTATTTGACAGAGAGAGACACAGCGAGAGAGGGAACACAAGCAAGGGGAGTGGGAGAGGGAGAAGCAGGCTTCCCGCGGAGCAGGGAGCCCGACGCGGGGCTCGATCTCAGGACCCTGGGATCATGATCTGAGCCGAAGGCAGATGCTTAACGATTGAGCCACCCAGGCGCCCCTTAACCTTTATTTTTAAAAAATTGTTAGCCAATAAGTGTTTTTTTTTTTCTTCGTTACTTCTGAGTCAGAGTTTTATATGTGTGGTGTTGAGTCTGAGCAGAATCTTTTCTGTTTCAAAATCTTCATTGTAGGTGGCTCAGATGGTTGGACGTCTTTCTTCGGCTCAGGTCATGATCTCCGGGTCCTGGGATCGAGTCCCACGTCGGGCTCTCAGCTCAGCGGGGAGTCTGCTTCTCCCTCTCCCTCTACCTTTCCCCCTGCTTGTGCTCTCTCTCTCAAATGAATAAATAAAAAAATCTTAAAAAAAAATCTTATTTTATTTAACATGTTTTGAGAATTTGAGTGAAAACTATTTTTGAAATGATTTACCATTGTAAGTACTTTCAAGGAACTGGAGAAATAATTCAGCAAAAAGAGGTGTTCACTAAGGTGTCTTCTTCTATAATGACATTGTTCATCTGTTTTGTTTTTAAACAGAGACAAAGCATGGAGGACACAAAAATGGGAGGAAAGGAGGACTTTCTGGAAGTTCATTTTTCACATGGTTTATGGTCATTGCATTGCTGGGAGTCTGGACATCAGTAGCTGTCGTCTGGTTTGATCTTGTTGATTATGAGGAAGTTTTAGGTAAGAATTTTGGTATCGTTTCTTAGGTGTTCTTATGTGAATTTGTAAGCATGAAAGACATCCTTTAGTAATCTTAAAGATTTATCATATTTTGGGGGTAATTTCTGTAGCCTTTCAGTTGTTCTCAATAGTGTAGAAACAAAAGGGGGTGTTATCAGGGTTACCTGGGAGTAGTGGCTTTTCAACTTCTTCGAACATAATCTGTAGTAAAAATAAAAAATAGGTATTTATTGTATGTATATCACACAGGAAAGTTTTATCAAACAGTACTTAACTATTAGGAAATGCAGTACTATATCATTTCTATTCCATCTTGTTATATTATGAATTTTAAACATTTATGAGCCACTGAATTTATATCAGGACCCAGTTTGCTAGACCCTTCCTTAGAGAGCATTTAGAAGCACACCCCATTTTCTTTGTTGGAATGAATCAGTGTGTGTGTATGTGTGTATGTGTGTACTGGTGTTGGTATAGGGGTGTGTGTATGTGTGTGTGTGTGTGTTGGGATAGGTGCTGTCTGTATGCTGTTGAGGAGGTTGCGATGTTATTTCTGATAGTTGTCTTCCTTTCTCCTTGTTTTTCCTTTTCTCTTCCCATAATCACTGCAGTTTTTCAATACTTTTTACATTAATGATTCTTTACCATTTTTGGAGTCATACTCCGAAGTCACAAAGTCTTTTTTTCAATTGAGATAAAATTTACATAACAAAATTCAATATTGTTAATATGTGAAGATGTACAGTTTACTGGTTTTTAATATATTCCTCATGATCTAATTCAGAATATTTCCACCACCCCCTCCTCCTCTCTCCTGGCAAACACATATTTCTGTGTCTATGATTTTCTTACTCCTGACATTTCATATAAATGGAATCATACAATATGTGGCCTTTTGTGTCTGCCTTTTTGCATTTAGCATACTGTTTTCAGGGTTCAGTGCTTACTCCATTTTATAGCTGAATAACATTCCATTGAATGGATACTCACCACCATTTTGCATATCCATTCATCAGTGATGGACCTTTGAGTTCTTTCCACTTTTTGGCTATTGTGAATACATACATACAACTAGATCATTAAAGATCTAGTTGAAAGTGTGGACCCTGTCACTGAAAAAAATGCATGCTCATCTATATGTACCGTGTTGCATAGAATACCCCATCCCTTCCGTAAAGCCTTCTGTACTTCTGCTTTAGATGTTAGATTATAGCCGTCTTTCGATGGGGTGGGGGGAGGCAAAACATGCTTATGGATAATCTGCCGTTTGTTGCAGTTTTTCATTGTTACTTAAAGGAGAGTGTCTCTGGATAGATGATAGAGTAATAGAGGAAGAATTTTAGTTCGGAGACAAACTTCTGAGTAGATCTGTGCTTTTGTTGACTTACAGTGATATGTTGCTAGGGAACATCTCTTAAGCAAAAGAAGAGATTAAAAATGTTTGTATGTTTAAGGGCAAGTTAACAATTTTCGTGTTTTTACATGCATGCAGCCAAAGCAAAGGACTTCCGTTATAACTTATCGGAGGTACTTCAAGGTAGGTAGGCTATTGGAGATGCATTTTAAGTCTACTTGTGTTAGTCTCTAAAACCTCATCCTTATTCTATTAATTTAGTTATCCCCTGCATCAGAGAAAATAGGTGGTAGGACCAACTTTTCCCTTTGTTTCTCAGAAAGTATGGTATTTTCTGTCTTTTTAATGTTATTTGAGCTCTGTGCTATAGATAGCCTCCATCTGCAGATCAGCGCTTCTTATTTATATTTTCTTAGCCATAGAAATGATAACTTCCTTATCTCTCCGTTAATATTTATTTTTATTTTTAATGTGTGTGTGTGTGTGCTTTCTAAACCAGATTTCTACATAGCTAGTTAACTATTTTCCTAAGTAGAACGAGGGCTCTGGGAGGGTAAAGATTGATCACAGCCACTCTACTCCAAAAGTTCTGCCTGCTCTCCTGCAGTGTTTTAACTTACGTTTTATTAAAGAGATGGTAACAGTGCTGCAGACTGATTTTTTAGTACTAACGCTGTATTTGTGGATGCTGTTTAAAATATTGCTCTATGTGATGTCTCCTCACAGCCATTGTCCAATGCTGAGTTCTAAATGATGTTGGTTTTAGAATGTTTTTTAGGGAATTGAATGTGTTTGACTCATGTTTGGAGTACTAAACATGGCAGTGTTCCTAGATGATAAAGCCTTTAGATAACATTTTACTTTGCTTGAAGAGGAAAGGCTCTGAGAGTACTGTCTTTTCAAGTGGTCTGGTTTAAGCTTTTTTTTATTTTTTCTTGATAGTAGATGGCCAGTGCTAGTTAAGTTTTAAGTGGGATAACAAAGTTTTCCTTTGTCGTTTCAGGAAGCCAGTTTTATATACTGTATTTCCAGTATATAAAAGTCTTTTTTTTTAAGTTGATTCATGATGTTTCTGTTATGAATCATTATTGTAAAATATAAAATTAATTGCGCTCTTATTTTTAGTACTTATACTTGGCGTTAATTATTTATACTTAGTCTTTATTTGAGGCTTGGTAGGTGTTCTCTTTATTTTCAGTATTGATGGTGGTGAGGAACTTTCATACTGTAGAAGCATTACATTTTATGTAACTTAGAAATCAGTAATGTTTCTTATTTATGTTGAAATTTTTACCAAAATTATTTTTGGCAACATAATAAAAAAATTCAGCTAAAATGATTAAATCAGCAGATTGTTAAAACTTTAAGGAAAATATTATCTCAGTTATATTTCTTAGATTGTAAGGCAAACATTTCCTGAATCTATCATTTTTAGGTAAGATCTTAACACTGCTTTTCAGGATTCAGAGAGCAAAGAATTGCATTGATTGGTAATATTTATGACTGATGGTCAGGACTGTAATAAGGGGTAATACCTTATCAAACTTGTTTTCCCTTTTCTTCCCATCCATTTTTTCCTCCCTCTTGCAGGAAAACTAGGAGTCTATGATGCTGATGGTGATGGAGATTTTGATGTGGATGATGCCAAAGTTTTACTAGGCAAGTAGACATTTTATTTTTTGTTAATGGTGATCTTTGCCTTGATAATATCTGTGTCCAGTCACACACATTTTATGGAAAATATTTCCCACTTCAGTTCTGTATTTCATTCTTACTGAAATGTTAATGGCTTAATTGTTTTTCCATAGATTTATATTTCAATATACTTTTATAAATGGGTAAGTATAGACTTCTTGCACATATATTTTCAATAAGCATAATTTCATATCTGTGTTCAGATTTAAAGCACTTCCTAGTCTGGACTTAATATTTGAACATATAGATAAGGTACTAGCCTGTTTTCAAATATGGTATTTATAGTCACTCTTGAGCATTAGTTGATGTAATTCACTTCCATTTGAAAATGTAAGTTTCTAAAGGCTTACATAAATCCATTTTGAAATAAAAATTGTGGTAGCTGACATTTTAAAATGTCCTATGCCTATTTTAAAGGTAACATTAAAATATGAACCAGTAGTTTTTGGCTGGGTTTCTTTATTTTAGAAATCTTGAACCCTTCTCTTTCTACCACCAGAATTACCTGTCTTTATCATTGAGATATTTCTTGTAATGTATAAATATGTGATATTCCCTCATTTGTTTTAAAATGCTGCCTTCCTAGAAAAAAACGATGTTAATTTTAATATGCAAGTTTTATATGATCTGGCCTAGTGAGATATGTGTTTCTGCTTGTTAAAGAGCATCACTTCCTTTGTTTTACTATGTAGTGTTACATGTATTAAAATTTTGTATACTAAAGTACTTAGAAAAATAATAAATATGTCATGGTAATATATACTATACTTACTAAAGTAATGATGCAAAGAAATTCATCCTAGACACACAATTTTGTGTTTATCTTATGGATATGAAAAAAATGGGAGGGTATCACATCTATAACCAATGGAATAAATAGTTTTAGGTAGATTAATCTTAACCTCCTTATAAACAGTAAGTTCTAAATATGAAAAAAAGTGTTTTAGTTGTGATTAAATGTAATTTAGCTTCTTAATTTTGACCTTAGTTTGTTTTCTTATACTTCTCAATGGGAATTATATTTGCTACTTAACAATGGAAGTTTACTCTCAATGAAATTTTTTTCCTCTCTTAACCTTAATGGAATTTTCTATATAATTTTGTCATTACGTTTTTTCTAATTTTTTATGGATATAGTAAATCTAAATCTAAATTTTTCTATGGAAATAGTAAATCCTCAGAAGACTATAATCCTAGACATGCAAAAGAAGTAAAATGTATAGAATTTAACCTATCAGAATGATGCTAATTTGCTTGCCTATAAATGGTTTATTACTCCATCGTATTACTTTATTTTAAATGATGGATTCTGAATAGTTATCATTTTAAAGATAACTTCATGTGGGCCATGTTTCCTCATTTTTAGAAATAATATTACTTCTCATCTGCTATATTTTGTTGGGTTTTTTTTTTTTTTGGCTTGAAGTCAGCTATGTGAAAAAAATAAAATCAACAATGTGGTCTGTCAGATAGGAAATATCAACTATTAAAAATTAAAATGTTATTTCTTTATAGAGCACACTGATTTCTATAGAAACTTACATTAATAACTTGATTTTTAGTATTTTAGATTGCAAGAGTTTATTTCCCGTAAGGTTTTTCAGCAACCATTAAGAGGCTAATTAATTGAAACTAAAAACATTGCCATTTGCAGTAGACATTTATTTGGTATGGGCAAATCATAACTTGTTCCTTTTATAAGAATTATGTATTTGGAGGAACCAAATTTGGTGAATCTCAGAGTTCATTTTGGTAATTTGACTATTAAATGCACAAAGGCTAAAATAAAGGATTTTATCATATAAAGGTACTAATTCATAGTTAGCTTATGGCTTTACAGTTAGCCGAAACAAACCAGAGGTGAGCTGTCAGGCTCACTTATGTCCTCTGACCTTATTTCTATAGTGATTGAATTTTCTGCATGAAATACAAGCTTGACTGGAATTGAATTCTATGACTAAAGGTCTTTTTTAGTTTTGTGAGGTTATTGTAGCTTAGTTGTGCTTCTGTTACTGGCAGGTGGTTGCAAAGAGAGAGCCTGATGAGATTCTTGGGGTACAGAGACATTAATGGGCTCTGTATCTTCAGGGAGAGGTTATGGGGGAGCAAATTCATTGAGTGTGTACCCAAAAAGAAGCCAGGCTTCCTGGGTGTACTCTCGTTGGAGAGGCAGCTCAGGAGTAAGGGTTTGGATTAAGGCACCAGGAAACCAAAGGGCAGATGCAGGTAGGAAGCTAGAGATTAGGGGAGAGCTTGTAATAACAGTTGAAATATGCTCAGCTTTCATAGGTTTGGCATTTCTTTCATAAGTATTTCTTTCTGCATTCTTAAATTTGCATAATCTAAATCTTACCAATTTGAGGAAGTGTACACATTCATATTTACATTGCACATTTTAAGATTTGGTTTTTCTTGTGAAATATAAAGAGAGAATGAAATATGTGTGAGTAAATCAAGATATTCTGAACAGCCGTCATTAGTTTTATTTCATTGTTTCTGGCCATGGCCCTTATGATATACTTTGAAAATGTTCTAAGCCTTTCCTAGTTTACATAGCTTCCTACTTTTGTGGCCAAATTACTTAGAATAAAATATCTTTGATATCGGTTTGGGTTATTGAAAACTACATTGCTGGAAATTGTATTCTTTGGAAACTTGTTTCCCAAATAAAATCAACAGGAAAATGGTCCAAGGACCACTTGCTAAGAGTAACATCCTTTTAGAGTAATGCCACCTAAGGATTGCGTGATTGTCCTTTTGTCCATGACTAGCACCTAGCTGGCTCCATATCAGGTATGGCTGGAGAACAAAAGGGAAGCCAGTCAACAATTCCTAGAGCCTTGATAAACATTTGTAGACTGGACAGACGCATAAGTGAACTAGATCTTGTCCACTCAGAGGTGCTCACACCCTGCCCTTGGGTTCAGGCCTGCTGTTAGAGGCTAAGGAATTAATATACCCAGAATATTTCCTTTTTCACTTTGGAGTAATATTTTTGTCTAAAGAACCACAGGAAGGTTGTTGCATAGTTGGGTCTATAGTTTGTTCAGGTACTTTTACATATTTGTTGAATACTTCAGCTTGTCATACTGAAGGCTGGTAAAGTTTTATATTTTATATTTGATACTTCGAAATACTAATATTTGAAAATGGAGAAAAATAAACATGTTTATTAGAAATATACAGCTATAGTGTTTTAAGGCAGGAAGAAGAAACAATGTTATTCCCACAGAGATTTCAGTGGGAATACAGATCTCCTCTGTTCATAGCACTTGTCAACTGTTAGATTTAGTGAAAAAATATTCTAGTTGTGTCAACGAGTAATTTAAATACCAAAAATACTAACTGCAGTTTGTTTTCTCCCCCCGACCTCCACCTATGAACAATGATATGATGTAGTTCTTCTGGGCACTGAAGTGGGGAAAATACACTGTATACTTTAATATTTATGCTAGCTGTCTCATTGTTGTACCTTCCCTGCCCATCTTGATTCCTGGCTGTTACGTTTACATGGAGAAACGTTGAGCCGCCAAAGCCCAACCTACTGAATGAGGGTGGTTAGCATCGGAAAAGCTCTCAAGTCATGGATGTTCACATTTCTTATAGCCAGAACTGTCTACCCTGTGTTTTTTCTCTTTCAGAATTACGGGTCTTGCTGTATAGGGCGTGGCCAGTATTGGTGGATTTTGATATTTACTGGGCTGAGAGATATTTCTTACCCGAAGCCAGTTACTAAACAGGAAAAAAAAATGATAAAACCAATATATACGTTGCTTTCTTTCCATCGTGATGGCCTGTTTTGGGACTAATACTTTAACAACAGGAGTCACGGGTCTTTACAGTAGAAGCTAATTTCTGGGGCTTATGTGAAGAGGACTTCAAATATTCCTGTTGCAAATGACCGGCTGGGTCCTTGATCAAATTTAATATTGGTTAGCAGAGTGAATTATTATTAATAGCTGATGCTTATTATTGGTCAGAATTATAGGACCATGAGTAAGTAGCCAGAGCACTGTAAAGCTAACATTTGGTAGTATGAACATTTGATTATCTGATATAATTTGAATAAATTTATGTTCATCTGTGGATGCTATAAACAGTAATCTTGCTAGTCATATTAACCCCAGAGTTTCTTAAGTAAACTCTAGGTCCGAAGGGGAAAAGTGTGAGGAAATGAACCTTTTTATTCGATGAATATTTATTGATATATGTAAATGCTTGTATAATCAACTCTCGATAATACCTGGTTGGTAAATCAGCAAACGTGGAGGCTGTCAGAAGGCTCTTATCTTTTTACCCTCTATTACTTTTGTTCGTTCTTCCCATTGACGTTAATCAGTCGATTTTGGCTAACACAATTTTGTGTTTGGGGCTCTAGATTCTCTTAATGAGAGAAAGGCAAACCTAGTTAGGGGCTGGTAGGAATGGTTGAGGATTGGTCAAATTGTGCCTTTCCTGTAGTACATGATTGAGAGTTGATTGTAAGGTGTGCATCTTAATCAGTTTCTTTGTTTTCCGAAGTATCTTTTCTGTTAACTTCTGTGACCATGATGCACATCCTTTTTGAGATCACTCTTCCTCAACTTCTTTTTTCCACCTAACTGCTCTCCTTATTTTCTCTTTCTCTCTTCCTTTATTCTTATGTAGGCCTGACCAAAGATGGCAGTAATGAAAATATTGATTCTCTTGAGGAAGTCCTTAATATTTTAGCAGAGGAAAGTTCAGATTGGTTTTATGGTTTCCTCTCATTTCTCTATGATATAATGACTCCCTTTGAAATGCTAGAAGAAGAAGAAGAAGAAAGCGAAACTGCAGATGGTGTTGATGGTACGTCACAGAACGAAGGGGTTCAGGGCAAGACTTGTGTCATTTTGGATTTACATAACCAGTAACTTTGATTCAGGGACTGAAGTCATTGGCTTATGAAAACCCGAAGCAGTGTCCTGTTTCTTTCTTTCCTTTGC